TTCGCCACTTCCCATTAGGCTTTCTCACACAAAACGTGGGCGTAGAGTGAGGAGACTTACTCTCACGCACCATGCCAGCCGCGTGCTTTGCACGAAAGAACTCGTCAATGACGTCACATTTTTCTCGTGGCAGCGGCCACTGTCGCGTCACACAGTATTTGGTTCCTGGAACCAAGTCAATCTCATGACGTACACCTCTATTCGGAGGTAACTTCGTCGGAGGTTCTCTGGAGACAACATCTCCATATTCCTTCAACAAAGGAAAATAAGGATCCGAAGGGTCCTTCAGGATCTGTGATCCACTACGCGCATTCAGCGCCTTCTTGGTATCTTCAAGAACTGCTTTATCCAAAAGCGATGAGGAGTATAACTCCTCCTCAGGTCGTATAAAGACCACTTCGGCGATGTCGCCTGCCTGTAAGGCAATGCCAAACTCGGCAAAGGACAACTCGTTTAGCTCTAACAGAGCACTTACTGCGGGTATTGCTGAAAGAGCCACCGGCTCTTCAACATCCCCAGTCAAACCATGACTAGTATATATAGCTGTTCGCTATCACCTTCACTCACAATTTTATCATCGCTACTCTTGATGCTCTCAGCATTTATAGCAACACCGCCCATAGGTGTACACACCTCAAGGTCAAAGACCACTTGGTTTACTAACTGCACCCCACCCTCTTGGGTCAATGTCTTGTCATGAGTTACTTGTATCTCGTTGTCCTCAAAGACAACCGTCATTTTTGACTTCAATCCGTCCCTTATGGGCCAGGACCTCGTCACTAAGTGCTTGTAGCTCGTTGTATTTAAAGAAATTTGTGACTTCACCCGACCCTCTTTAGCCAGTGCCTCGTTTCGAGGTGCTTGCACCTCGTTATCCTTAAAGACAATATCCATTTGGGCCCTTCGGCTCTCCAGGTTCAGTTCCTCGTCACTCATGTCACTTGGACTCATGTCCTGACATCTTGGCTTGCGGCCACCAACACCACTCATGGTGGTTAATGATGTAACATCATTCTCATGACACATGTGTCATCTAGTGGGCTCTCAACCACACTATAGACAGTCCTTGAGTCTCGCTTAGGACTATTGTCCTCGACACTTATAGTGTCTGCAAAGTCATATATTCCGACATCCAACATATTGACCGACTCGGTCCAATATCTGCGCCAAAAGCCCTTTTGCTTCCTAGCAGTGGTGGGTTCATGACCTCCAGAGCCCCACCAGGAGCATTGCGCGTTGCGCCTATGTTTTTCGACCTCCAATCAATCCATGGCTTATGACGTTCTAGCTATGCCATGCCTAGTATGAGGTCATACCTCGCATCCAGGTCTAAGACCAAACAGCGTTCCATGCTGTTAAAGTCCAAGAACTTTACATTTAAGTCCATCGGGACTTTGGGTACCGTAACACGCGTACCCGTCGCTAAGCGAACTGGGACTGTGTCACTCTCACGCGCTGCAAGCGCTTCAACATACTGCTGGCGACCTTCCACGGTAACATGGCGGGCATAATTGCCCGATGCTTTCAAATCGATCAAAATGATCTATGGCTTATCATAGCCCTTAATCGTCCCTTCGACGGCTAGCAAGCCTGGCTTGCATTCTCGTTCCGTTGTTGAGAGTTCAGATTTCTTTAGGGCTGGGCCCTGTTTACTTCTACCTCCTGTATGTTCAACAGAACTCAGTTCTTCCCCAGTAGGGCGCCCCGCGCCTACTGGGTTACGCCGTTTCCCCGCGGCAAACCAGAAGGTTTAACCATGGGATGTCGGCTCTTCGAGACCAAATATGCATTTCTTGCAGGGAGTTTTGCTGTGGTAGAGTGGGTTCTCAAATTTGCGCATTGAAACTCCAAGACACTTACTCTGCCGGACTGCCGACTGTCGGATGGGGTACCCCGATGCCGCGTATAGACCTTCTCTCACCTTGTGTACCCGTCGGTTGGTGGCTTGCACTCTTTGGAGGACTTGGTTGAGATTATATGTCGGCCTTGAGAGAGCTCGACCTTGGGGTGACTAGAGTGGATTTGTTTTACTCGGTAGGCGGGTAGGTGGCCACTCGGTCGACTGGTGGGTGGGCTTACAACCAAATTCTTCAGGTGGATTTTCAACCCTGGCCTTTTCCTTGATATCTCAGGAGTGTTAACCGCCTGGCCTTTGCTTGCTCCCGAACCTCTAGGGTAGGGATACCGCTTCCGATAGCGGGTCGATTTGGGGGCCCAGTACTGTAACTACTGACGTCCAAATTTTACCCGTAAATGGGGGGGTCTCTATCCGAGACGCCACAGACAACCCGTGTTGTCTAAACACACAATCCATGAACAGCTTAGCAGTTCCTTCTCCATCAATGGAGTCTGGCACTACCTCTAAATGAGTCATCTTGATCAGTCGGTCAGCAAAGACTGCGATCCCAGTGTTGTCTGCCGCATTACGCTGTAGGCCAAATACAAAGTCCATACTTATGGACTGCCATAACCTTGAGGGTATACTCACAACAGTGAGATGAGCAAGCTTATAGTCAGGTCTACGCGATAACGCGTCAGCCAAAACATTCCGTTTCCCGGCTTATACTTCACCTCGAAGTTATACTCTGCGAAAAAGGAAAGCCAATGAGCCATTATCTGTGAGTCATGAGGCGGCTGCGTCGCTGTGCGTAACGACGCATGATCGGTATGGATCACAAACGGCTTTGAGCCCAACAGGTGTACCCTGAACTTAACAAGGGCATACTTCATCGCAAGTAGCTCCTTGTCATCAACTGGAGAGTTCTTCTCTGCAGCTTTCAGCTGGCGAGACTAGGCACTTAACGCTTATAAGCAAGTGTCGTAACACTAATGCTTTAGCGTGAGTGCAATGCACTGTATACTCAAGGAGCAAGTGTCGTAATCTTAGGATTCTTAGAGAGCGTGAGTGCAAAGCACAGGTGCTCAAGGAGCAAGTGTCAGAATACTAAAGCGTTGATCGCAAGTGCGAGCACTTATTGCGAGGCAAGAAACATGGGAAGTTAATTAATCGATGACTCCTATTAAGTTCGAAAATCGTGAGTGCGTCGGGTCCCACGGATCGGTGGGGATGGTACACGTGTATATTGTACATACACACCTGCCACACCAATGTGGTGTGGCTGTACCTTGGGTACAAAAGTCGGTGATGTGACCGTACCTGAAGTACAGGTCGCATCGTGGCGGAGAGCCACGTATCTTTATACTTTAAATAAGTATAGTGACCAAGACTTTAGATAAGTATAGTGACCAAGACTTTAAATAAGTATAGTGACCATGCATGTTTGCATAATAATAGGCAAAAGAGCCAGTAAATAGTGACTAGCACTAAGTATAGAGTAGGTGCTTCTATATTTAGTGCTTAACGTTACCTTTTCGCTAATAGTCTTTTACTTTCCGGTTGCTGTGACTTATAGCTATTAGTGCTCGTGAGTTTTACAAAGTGCTCAACATTGACGTATCCAGGTATAGTCATGACATTCTTGCCGCTGTATACCGACATTGAGCAAACGATCGATTGTTGCACTGTACGGAGACACTGAAAGACTGTCTGTTTAAGCTGGTAAATTGCTTTAGTACACTTTTGTCTTTATGTGCGCATCTGCCAGGCTCTATCAATCTTTTTGCGCTGTTTCGACGCAGCTGACGTCGACTTGGACAATGCCGGGTCCTGAGACGTGCACAAAAGCAAACGTCCGTTATAAAGCTACTTTAATGTCACTAAGCATTTTTGAAGATAAAAAAACACTGAATTGATGATTTAGGATAGACTCCATCAGCTCGATTTTAGGGTGAATGATTATCCTTCATGTATCCAGTCTCTCCGTACGTTCCACATGAAATGCTTGGTGTATGTCGCACCTTATCCAATGACAAAAGAACAAGTAGTGAGGCTCTCCTCTGAAAACATCGGGCACATGCGTTTTACAGAAGCGCTTATCATGCTGACCACAGTTGTTGCGCATTATTTCATCGTCAGTCCAACAACCTTACGAGAGATCTCGTGTTTGCACCGTACAAAAAGCAACTCCTACGTCGGCGCTGGTCAGGTTAATGCCATTTCGGTCGGCTGAGCAATCGAAAACGATGGTTATGCAAGATTGATATTGCCCTACAATATGTCGCTCTTCCTGCGTCAAGCGTTCTTTAACTTTCAGTTTGTATTTTCATAAAGAATTCTGCAAGAAATACATAGCTAACTACAGGTGTGTTCAAACTTCCAGAAGATAGCTGCAATTTCTGACGCTTATTACGGAGTAGCTCAATTTGACCGCAGTAAATTTGAATTAAACATTCTACTACAAATGTTGCTTTCAAAAAGTCCCACACATGCATCCAGCTAACTCCTTGCAAATTAGTTAGCAAATAACAAACTCCTTTTGTGGTATTGTGTGAATACTGGCCATCGAGACAACTGCTGAGCTACAAGCCTCTCAATCTCTCGTATCAATGACAATCACCTCAACGCAACGCTTTACCGTCTATAAAGTTTTTATCGTCACGTAATTTTTCAATTACATACCAGTAATGAGAGTCGCGTTCCTGCTGCACGAAAAGGATGTCCCACCAAATCTTAACATTTGGATTACTATAGCTTTGGAATAACTACCGTCCTGTCATGTTTTGAATCTAGAAACGTTCATTACAAACAAACTAGCCAAGTTTAAGCTAGTGCAGTGCACTAGTTTCAAAACCTAAACTATGCAGCAAGCAATGCAGTGTTTCACATAACTGTCTATAGGCGTGAATCCTAGACCACGATCAAGACTTTTCTGTCGTTTGATTGAGAACAATTCATGATGGGTCTGGCTAAAAATTCCAACTTTTCGACAACACTGACCACAAAAAGTATTTGTTGCGTTTACATTTGCTATTGCATTGCTTAGCTTGCACTCAGGTGTCTTCGTTTGTGCGAAATAAACGATGTTTGCTTGATGCGCCCAGCACCGAATACAATGGCAACGACCTACGCTACATGATGCTGATGAAAACAATACATTCAATCAGTGGGTTATTCCTTCCAGGATCGGACTATGCTGAAGTCCAAGGCTGATGCCCAGAACCAAAATGTGTGGAAAACCATTTGCGACGAGATTTCCAACAATCGCAAGGAACGGAATGTACAACGCCGGATGATGATGATTTACCAAATGAAGCAGCGGAATGTTAATATCCTTCCAGAAAGCATAGCCTCCGTTTACGTTCAAGTAGATGATATGTTCATTACCAGGCACTTGAACTGTAAAAGGCGTGAAAGCACGACAGAATGCAGCTAAGAAAGAAGTCAAAATACATGAGCCGACGAAGCTTGAGCTGTGCATGCCATTATGTGCAGCCGTGATCTACACGTAGTGTAATAATGGACATGTCAGTGTTTAACGTGCAAGCTATAGTTCGTTGTATTTCGACGTGACGTACGTAGAAGCATACGGGCAAAAACCACAGGTGATGCGTTGCAAAGAATGTCTTGGAAAATGAGCGATTTTCCGGGTATGTAAGGTATTTCATCGCGCCCGTGACAAACTTGCCATGCAGTACAAACGAAAGTGTGTCAATGTACCACAGCAAATGGTCGCCTGACACCGTCACCATCTATAAAGCATGTTAATGACGTCCACCCACTCTCTGCTTCTGATAGAATTCCCACGTGAACTTACCGCTATGCCCACCAGGAAAGGCTTCGAAAACAAGAGTGCCATGAACACGAGCACAAGCGAGACGTTGCAAGCCCACAGCATCTCGTACAAAACGTAGGTGCCTATCATATGAGCAGTCAATTCTCCTTAATTTTTATAATCTATTATTATGTGAATCAATCCATGACGTACCGTGCTCATAGAAGCGGGAGATCACCATCATGAAAACATAGAGCCCAACAAAGACCATTACCTTACTATCACAACAGAATGTAAGTCTGAATACAAGTAATTCCTTGAACAATACATTATCTCTTATCGCAAAGTGTACGAACGGGAAATTGAAGCTTTCTTTTTGGTCATCCGCAGCAAAGTAATGGTCCAATTGAAGTACCAACAACATAACAGCAACGTAACCAAGTACCAGGATAGCAAAAATACGTGGTAGATCCTTTTGAGTGATCTGGACAGGCAAAGGGGGTGACGGCATCTCGGATCTTCCTAAAAATCCAGCGCTCAAAAATTGAAATCGGAATAATGGCGCAGTTTATCTGCCTCGGTTCTGCACATTATGTCTCATCAGTCTCTTAATAACGTGCCGTGCAATGCGCCCTAATGCTTCAAGTAGTACTGTACATCCATACTATTACTGTACGTAGTGGCCTGTGCAACGCCACGGTGCAAATACAGACGTATCAATTCATTCGTGTACTGCAGCAAGTCCAGCATAACCTCTTGCTCATCTCCGTTGAACCGTCCAAGCACAAACTTGTCGATCGCGGTACCCGATGGAGCCCCACTTCTACCTCCTACAAACCAGTGGGGTGCACCCACGCCGACGCGAAGACGAGCAAAGCGTTTGGTACCAATGCACTTGATAATATCTCGTACACCATTCTGACCGCCTGGACCACCTTTTGCCTTAAAGCGGCACTCGCCAAAAGGCAGCGCGACATCGTCCGTAACCACAAGAAGCTCGTCCTGTCGGTTTAGCGCTAATGGGTTTTTCTTTAGTCGCCAGTTGTGTGACTGCATAAAGGCGCGGACAGCAGTACCAGAGCAGTTCATATATGTTCTTGGCAGAAGCAGTGCAACGTTCACTTCATCGTGAGGAACACCTTCCGTTAACGTCCGCTCTTTCGCACGCTTTGACAATCGGTTTACCAAATCATCGACTGGATACATGTACGCCTTGTCTGCTACATTTTGCTGGAATTTCAGCTTAAACTTTGCCACATCAGCATGAATTCTCTCTTCGGGTTGCAGTTGCAAATAATTTCCCTACATCATAAGAAACCAACCACAAAAGATGTCAGTTTCTACGTCTTAGTGCAACACGTACTAATAACTCACCGTCACGTGCGATGCGTACGTTTTCAAAAAGTGTTTTACTACAATGGACCCAATGTTGTGTCTGCTTGGATAAGACCACAAAACGTAGACATATTAAATCAAATAGTGGGCTTTATAGTAGCTACTAGAGAATCGGAAAGTCTGCACCTTGTGTTCGTATACTTGGTACCGGGGTTACCCAACCCTACAATTAATTTCCGTACGTACTTGTGCCTGGGTGAAAGCACAGAAGCTACAATCTCTTGGGTATTGATATCGCTTGCGCTTGACGTGTAGATATTGGCTCGCCAAGGAACACTATGCAGCGGTCTTCTCCATACACGCTGCAGCATAGTTATCATCACAATGTTGCAATTTGTTCGAGTTGCTGGTTAAAGGTTGTTTGAATGTTGCAGCTAACTTCTGGTGAAAAAAACGCAATCAATGGGTTGCAAATTACTTGTATGAGTATTGTGAACGTCTGCAGTGGTCAAAGCATTTACGTGCAACAAAAGAATTCCTGACAATCGCTAGTATATGCGTTGCCACCTGCTTTATTACCCGGTCAAAGAGGTCAACATGGCGGCTAACAAAAGACTTGAATGTTACTGAATGTACTTGTTCAGGAAGCGGCGATGAAAATCATTGCGGATCGTGTCGTTAATAAATCTCTTCTTGACCTCCGGCTCGCTGCGAGATTGATTCTTAAAAACCACATCGTCATTCCACCGACGCTTCATCTTGGCGCTACCTGTAGCTTGCTGTTGAGTCAATGGGTTACCTTGAAGTATTTTCTCTCGGGATTGTTGTTCAATACCCTTTCGTTCCTCTTCCTCTTTAAGTTGCCGTTCTTCTTCCCGCTCTCGCTTGATTTTTTCAAGCTCTCTCATAAGTTCGGCCTCTTCGTCTTCGTCATTACTGCAGAAATTTAAAGCAACAAATCAAGTCACCAAAATTTAAAGCAAAAAACCAAGTCACCGAATAGATCAAACGAGATTAGATAACTCCTCTTTTTTCCTCCAGCTCACCTGTCACTATCAGAATCGCTTGACTCATCTGAGCCCGCACCATCATCTGCGTCATTGTATTTGCTCGCCACTTTTACTAGCTGCGACTCACGCGCATCCGCCTCAGCGTCACCAAGCAGCAGAATCTTTTTATTCTGCTCCAGACGTCGTAATTTATCTGGTCATAGAACAACACCATCAAGTCTTTCCAGCTCGACAAACCGTAGCATCCAATCAACGTCATATACCCCACCATACCTTGTGCCGTGTCTTTATTAGCACCTCTTTCCAGCTCGTACTTCTTCTCTTTCCGCTCCAGTTCATGACGCAAGTCCAGCAATTCGACCTCATTGGCCGTGCCCTGTCCAACTTGGCTAAGAACCACAATAAACCGTCCAGAAACACCTGCATAAGTATTTAAAATTATGTCAATAACGTTACTAGTAACACGTACCGGATTTTCAAATGCTTATGTGCTGGCAGGTCGCGCGCTGAGATCTGATCGCTTAGTTTGCCTGTAGTATAATAAACGAGCGTTTAGGTGCAAAAAAATACCCTACAGCGCAATAATTTTAGCGCAGTAACATTATTCCAAAGCGCGTATGCGATCTAGAGCCAACACACCTCCAGCTTGCCATCCTCCTTCATTTGATTGACCTACAGCGGCGTACCAAGTCGGGCGGTGTGCAGTCGTCATATTTTCTTGTGACATGACGAGAAAAAGAAAAAAAGGCTCGCCGATTGAATAAAAATATCACACTATTTTTGTCTATTTTATCCAATCCAGAGTCGCAAATCAAATAAAGTTCGTTAATATTATCGCGTAGCCCCTTGCTAACACTTGACGTCCCACGTATTACTTGGCGATTGCTAATGTCATCGTCACCGCCACCCTGGGGACGGCTTATACTACTTGGCCATACAAATTACATGTCTTTGCCTAAATATTACGACCTAGTTCACTATAATCACTGCATTGGTCGCGCTGCCAGTCGCTGCGATATTCAGATCCCCAAGGAGTACATTAGTGGCTTGGTATGTAAATATTATCCAATCACTTGTCGACTTTGCTCAATTTATTTGTTTACTAGATACAATTTGGTGTAGCACTGTATTATCAGATTATTGGGCAAAAAAAACAATGAAACACCTTTTGTGGAGATTGTAGATCATAGGTATGATATTGCATGCTCCAGTCTTGAAAACTACGTCTAGTTAAGTAATTAATTTTGACCGTGTCAATTGTTTGTTTATTTTATTTCTGTTACATGCAAAGTAGTCGCTATGGTACGTGGGTAAATCTGGACAAAGTTGGGCTTCAACGGACAGCAAGTTTAAAACATAACGATAAGATTCATTTTACACGTCCAGACGCTAAAAGTTAGTGGCGTGATACAGTAATGCTGAGTGGATGAAGAAAAGTTGATATTTGTGTGTTAATGATCACCATGTTGTTACAATGCTAGATGGGACTGAGCTTGTCTATAGATTCGAGATTTTGTACGTATTACGAAGTGGTGTCACACATTGGCTGTTTTTAATAGACGTCTTGTAGATGTAGTGGATTGATGAAAGTTAACGAGAATCTTTATGCGCAACTGATTGCGGATGAAATGCCAGTGGCTAATCGTACCAGGAAGCGCACACATGAAGAGACACAGTGTACGCAGAGTCCATTGAAGACAAAACTTTTGCCACCACCAGCTCGACCGGTAAAGAAAAGGAGACGGGATAACGAGGAAGCGGTAGAGCCAGTCAGTGAGCCGCTTGCTGTTCAATCAGCGTGGGACAGTCGTAGCTTGCAAAGGCCGACGGCAAAAGTTGCGGGCAGAAAGAGACGAAGCCCAGACGCGCTAGCACCAAACAGCAATCTCGTGCAGTATCGAAAGGGATATGATAAGCTTCGAGATAATTTTAAGAAGGAACTGGAGCTGTTCCGAGATGAGAATGCAGCTTTGAAGAAAGCTTACTTGGAAGAGCTTGCTAAAGTGAAAGCTGATGCTGCAGCCAAGCTTGCAAAGGTAAGAGCTGAGGCTGCAGCGAATCTTGCAAAGGTAAATGCTGAGGCTGCAACAAATCTTGCAAAGGTAAAAGCTGAGGCTGCAGCGAATCTTGCAAAGATAAAAGCTGAGGCTGCGAATCTTGCAAAGATAAAAGCTGAGGCTGCGAAACTTGCAAAAGGTAACCGACTGACTACAGCGAAGCTTGCAGACGGTAATAGTCGGGTTGCTGCGGAGCTGGGCGATACTAAAAAGAATTGCTCAAGTTGCGGGAGGAGCGAGACGGGCTTAAGCAAACGATCAACCAAATATTACAAGGTCCCAACTTGCCTCGTAAAAAGCGAAATGTTACCGACCTGAAAGCAAAGGTAGCAGTTTTTGTGTCAAGAAAGCACGATAGAACCGACACATGCTTATCTAACGCATTCTCTGTTGTAGGTTCACGTACTAAAACGTACAATCCGGGCTGGTCAAGACGACCTCACTTCTGAAACGCGTCAAGAGCGGGCTCAAATGTACATGCATCTAGACTTGTGGCTTCTGTTGTTATTTCTTGTTGAGTTTCCTTGTGCGTGCACGACTCGTGTATAGGACCCCACTCTCCGAGAAACAACCCACGGAGATTGGTAAAGAAGCATGCGGAAGGACGACCAATCATAAAGCTTCTCCGGTACATATAAAATGGCAACGTATTGAAACCCAAGGGAAGATTGACAAAGCTATGAGAAAAAAAGAGAGCACGGTCTTAGTTAGCTCTGCCCTGTCGGTGTCGAGTCAGTCACAAGATTCGATAGACAGCGGGATCCTACACAACGCTCATCGCAGCAGCTTGCAGCTCTCATTCGTCTCCAACGAACATTCCGAACCATCACCAGGCGATATACCGCAAAAGTTTGATGCAGCTGCTAAAGAGACTAAAAACAGCAATGTATCTGAAGGCCGGTCGCTGATGTTTAATATTTATGGTGCAGGTAGTGCGACGGTAGATTCACCTGGTAACAGACTTACGATGCATTGTCGTTCGCTGTTGTATCGAACATCGCTGAAAAGCAATAGCGCAACGATACAAGAAAGCCAAGGACAAAAAAAAGATGTCAAGGATAAAGAGCCCAAGGGGAGCGAGTGATGTGTTGTATTAAACTACCATGGTAGGAAATGCTGACAAAAGCAGATATCGTGACGACTGACCATTTTCAGTCGCCTTTGCACAGACTGAATGTGTTGTGTTTGAAACAAGAGAACGGAAGCAAGCTGTTGCAGACAGGAAAAAATATCGTAAACACCCAAGGGTCTTAAACACGCGTACGAAAGAGAAAGGGTTCTACAAAGTTTGTGACGCTACGTGCGAGTTTTGCAAGAGTTGTTGATATCAATCCAGCAATAGCTGTCAATGCGCATGAAGAAGCTGATACGATTGCATCGTAAGCATCGAAAATTGCTCGAAACTAGGTGTCTTGTAAGGTGGTGTTTATTCTAGCTAATACATCACATACGGCTGAGTCTTTAGACTTTAAATCTATTGCACTACATCTTGTTCTTTTCTCCACCTTGAATTGTCTGCAAAACTAATAATGTGCCTGCAGCAAAAGTCGCAATGCTTTCTTCACCACGTCTTCAAACGTGCAAAGCAAATGGAATCTTTGAGACGTTAAAGGAGTTGAATAGGTCAATTGATTGAGCATTTTCAGCAAAGGTATAAGTAGCTCTTGTCGTGTCATTTCTCGACGCTGCGTTAATGTTACAACGAATTATCGTTAGTGGCTGGAGCTCGCGGATACCGTCGAGAGGATCTCATTTTTGACGATATACAAGGAAATGTATACGCAATTGCATAGTGAATTATATTACGCGTAAGTAAAGGTGGTTCGAAATTGTATCGCGAAAGAAATTTCAGCATGAATTGCTTAAGTTGCTCGAGCTAAGAACCTAGCATACCGAATAATTGCTCATAATTATGCATTGTAAGATACTTTATTTACATTACCACCACTTGATATTTCAATAACAAAACAAAAATGCCACAGGAATGGGCAACGTTAGTAGTGGCATTAGAGCTCGTGGTGACGCTATGCACATCATTTTGGCTGGTTGCACGTCAATATGGACAGAGAAATCGCCATCCACTATTTATTGGCCATGCTACTCTCCTACATCCTCGCGGATGCTGGTCACTACGTGCTTTACTAGCATATAGAGCAGTCGCTGCAACTTTCTTTCTCGTGGTCCAAATTTGGGACGTATGGCGCTCTACAGGCCGTTGTTTAGCCATGTACACGTCATGGAATTTTATTCTGCAAGGTATATACTTTATTATAGCTACGTGGTGCACTAGATGTCAATTACAACATCAAGTGGACGAGAGAATGGGAACTTATCAAGCATTAGTGGATGGAAATAACGATGGCACAGGACACTCGTTTGCCAGTCACAGAAGAGTATTTAGCGACAACGGAATGCATTGGATTGATTTGGAGCTTCTTTTTGACGTGTGTCTTGCTGCTTCATTGCTTATTTGTGTCGTAGTATGGTCAATATTGTATCCGTACGCTGTCAAAACGGGACATCCTGAAAAAATCCTAAATGGAGTGAGCTATTGTCAACATGGAATTAATGTACTATTACTTCAGATTGACTTTGCTGCTACTAAACACTTGGTGTCAAGCAATGCTTTGCCGTTGATTATGGGCTGGCCTTCGGTGTATGCAGTATTTGCTTGGATTGTACATGGAACGGTGGTAAAAGGGTTTTGGCCGTACCCGTTCCTTGATTTGGAAACTCCGTGGGCCCCATTCTGGTATGGAGGATTACTAGCTGCACATATAATGGCGTTGCTACTAGTCATGCTGTTATCGAAGGTAAAGCAGATGGAGCCGCGATCAGTGACATTGGCGGATCAAGTCGAAGCTTAATTGGGCAACTTGGACACCGGATGGCAAAACATTTTCGTAAAATTAGTAGGACTGTACAATTAAGCTGCGCGAGCGACTCAAAGTATGCTAGGAAATATGTGACAATGCGATCTTGATTTCGGTGATGTCGCTGCCTTTTGGGTCGTAGCTCTGTCAAAAAAGCAACAAGTTTGCCGTAAGCAGTGCAGATGATAATATCCAGTGACCATAAAGGTTTGCAATGCAACCTTTTTGGCTTCGTCGAGCAATATCTTTCACACCTTCATCGCGATTTCAACCAGCACCACTTCAATCAGTAAGCTCTAAGATGCAAGCAGCCGAAATGCATTAGTCATCAAACACACGCATCACAAACAAATGCCTCTTACTGGAATGACTCGATGTTGTCAATATCGTTTCCCCGAATCGTAGTAGCTGTATGGGGCAAACCAGCGCTGTTACCACGTTTGACGAAAATTTCGTCGTGGTCGGTGAGACCATAAAAGCCAAGATGTTCATTCAGTCTAAGCTCCTGATCTTGTACGCTCATAACGACATCAGCCGGGTTAGCGATGTCATGGCGCTTGCAGTAGCTCGTATGCAATTTCTCCACTGTCGCAGCCTATACGAGCTACGTGGTCACAAAGGTCTGATACTGATGCCTATTCAACCAAGTTTTGCAAACGTACTGCGTCAATCTTAAAAATTTCTGATCGCTTGCCAAACATTACCAGTCGCAAGCGTAGGTATGTTTTCTTTTTCGACTCGATCTGCTTGGAAAAGTCCACTTTGGCTTCAATCAGATCACCAGAGTCCAAGTCCTCGCTGTCAGGGGTAGCTTTCAGCGACAGCACCTCTCCATCCAGCATCATGTTAACAGCTGATTGCGGCAATCCATGCAACTCACAAAAGCGGACATATAGCTGGTCAAAAGTCTCCTTCTACAACAAAACGGTAATGCACATTGCACAGTTCGAATCACAACACGATTCGAATAGTCACGTCAGTTGTTCCTCACCTTATACATAGCAACCTCGTCGACCGCGCCACCATTAGAACGAACGTGCAACAAAATCCGTGCTCCTTTGTCCACAACTGACTGCAAAGGGAGCAGTGCAACAGGCTCAACCGGAGCATCACCGTCATTGTCATCAGCGGAATCAGAGTCCAACAAAATGATTTCCAAATTTTTCTCATTTGTCTTTCTTTTCGTAGATGATACCTTGCTCAAAATAGCTCGGGTTTGGTTCAGCACCTTGTCCTTCTCTAGCTTCTGACGAATCTCACGCTCCAGCTGCTGCTTTCGCAGACGTTCCGCTTGTTTCTCGCCTGGCGTATATAGATCATCGTCTTCATCACTACTATCCAGAATTATTTGAACTACAAGAGCAACAGACAGTGCAGTAGTCTCAGCACAGTGAAAGCCCACGTCGCGCTATTTTACTTCTCGACAGACTGTTCTCATTTGTGACTGTATCTTTAAGCAATGTCTTGTGTCGTTTTCTCTTTTCAGGTGTCTCTAAAATCTTGACATCGTCTAGACGGTCTTTATCGTCTGTGTCTTCTCCAGAGGAAGACGAGAGTGAGACTACGCATCATCGTAACGGGATAGTGTCAGTCGCTTTGAAACACGAAGGTTTCTTAGCTTGTAGTCAGCTTTAAAGGATACAGAAAGATAGGTAGATTGCTACATGAATGGAGCATAGGACGTACCCATCATCTTCCTCTTCTTGTTGCGATCCAACGCGCTGTACAGCTTTACATCTTCCTCCTCGTTCGAGCTCATGATTGTCTGTCTCGGGCACAATCTACTTCCTGTTGTCTAATTCGCTTAAATTGAATGCATTAATTCTACCAATCCCTGATCCATTAAATTGACTGGTCAGTCATTACGTGAACTTTGTCATGATGCCTCACAGAAAGCGAAGCCGTGACGCTGATGCTGTCACTGCTGCTTCAAAAGTATCAACGTTCTCTTCATGTTTTGAGCTTAGCAATGGAAGCAATGATAGTGATGATGATGATGACGATGACGATGATGAAGTAGAGAATGTTATGTTTCGTCCTGCTCAGACAAAAGCTGACGATGACGTAGCAACTGAACAGGATCAAGAGAATGTTCAGGTGAGGAAGGAAAAGAAAAAAAAACAGATTGTGAAGAAGCAGCCGCTGAGTGAAGAAGACGAAGAGATGAAAGACGAGATTGAGCGCAAGACGGAAGCTACAATTTACGTGGAAGGAATTTCGTATCGAGCTAATGAGAGTGACTTGGTGACACACTTTTCGTCTTGTGGTGCAGTACGTGAGGTGCGTTTGGCACGTTATCAGGACTCGGGCAAACCTCGTGGCTATGCGCACGTGATGTTTGACAATGAAACGGCAACGGAAAAGGCTTTGGAGCTAGATGGTAAGCACTTGTTTGGTCGCTATTTGTCAATTCGAAGAGCAGAAACACCGCGTGCTGTGGAGATGGCGTTGAAGGAGAAGAACCAGAATGCGACGAAGACGGCGGTGAAAGGATGTCGGACAGTTTACATTAAGCAGCTGCCGTATGAAGTTGAGGAGGACATCATTCGTGAAGCTTTGTCTTCGTGTGGCACTATCACCAGTGTACGGCTGCCGATTTGGAAGCATACCCAGAAGCTAAAAGGTTTTGGATACGTGGAGTTTTCAAGCGAGGACGAAGCATTGGCTGCTGCTCGTCGTAGTGGTATGAAGATTGGTGATCGGATGGTACTTATTAGTCTAGATGCTGCAGGAAGTGCACCTAAATCCAGCTTTCGCCAACGTGACGGGCAGTACTGGAGTAAGGGCGAGGAGGCAAAAAAATCGCTGGCAAAAAGGATTAGTGAGAAACGGCAGCGCCAGAATGTACACAAAAAGCGGAAGACAGCACGCAAGTAGAGGTATTGCCGATATTGGGGATTGAGAATGAATGAAAATAGATCTAGTATCCACGAACAGTTGTCTATTAATTACTGCAGCTTTAAGCCTCATTCGCCTGTTCGTGTTGCTGTTTTGCTATTCTGCTCATGGTACCGTAAAAGCGAGAGCTTTGTGTTCGATGTCGATTACGTCAAAGTTAGGAAACCCCTGCACACCCGCTGTGTGTTGCACCTGGTCAAACCAGCGCATGAGATTGATAAACTGGTCCCGCTGAGCGGGCGTGAAGTTGCTAACAACCCCGTGCAACGAATAGAAGAGCGAGGCGTCAGCGAGCGTCACACGGTTGGCTACCAGATACGTTCTCTGCTGCAGAGAGTTCTCCAGCACCTGCCAATGTGACGGCAAAGCTGGTGGCAGGAAGCGTTGGATACTGCGAGCAAAGTCCAGCCACATAGCCACCTGAGCGCGTTCGAAGGGCGTCTGACCTAGCAACTCGTGCTCGCGGTCGGCGAATCGCGCGAGGTACTTGGCAATGGTAGAGGGTTCGTACAGCTCGATATTCTTGCCGATACGTACACGCAGGCGACCTGAGGCAGCTGAGCCCAAATTAACGCCGCAGAAGCGAGCAACGAAGCGTACAAAAGCAGCATCCGTTGACTGGTCCAGCGATACTGACATGATGTATGTGTATTATGTAACTGTTTGTTGGATCATAAAATTGTGGATTAGTCTGTATAGTAGTGGTTTGACGGATAAATCTAGTGGCAGTATACGTAAAACAAATACCGTATGATATGAACTAATTGCTAACTTTGTAAAATATGCGATATACAATTTGATTAATTACAATATGATATGTACATTTTGATCTCAGTTATTCAATTCTTGCTTTAATTGTGTAATTTCTACCCTCCACAATGTTTTTTCCTTCCCCATTTGCTCCACAAGTGTTTTTTTTCAAACTCATATTTTCCACTTCAGCATTAAAGTATTCATTCGTTTACATAACATTGTCATGGTTGAGTCATCATCACTTTTATCATTAATGCTTTTGGTAGGATATAGTACAGGATGGAACTTCAAATTCAACTTGAGACAATAATGGCGTGTTGTTAAGAGGTGACGGTGTTAAGTTTAACCCGTTGCGTACATCCCCACCTAGTGTTGTATACGGAACTTCCGTTTGCTTTGGATGAGCACGAAGAAAATGCTGTAGTAGGAACAATTGAGATAGAGAGTCCAATACAAGCGGCTGATGGCGATGATTTTGGTGACTTTGGAGATTTCAAGCTGCACCTGCTACTACAGTCACCGCAAGAGTGGATGCTGCGTCTCTCTGAACCCCTTCCTTGTCGGCCTCAGTCAGTCGAGTTTTGGCCGGCCCAGGGGGTAACACAGGAGCTTACCCAACTCGCGGAACGCTTGCGCATTAGCTTCATCCGTAATGGGGTCGTCATTTTTTTCAATCCACAGGTCCCCCATTATTCATGGTCCGCTCCACCCATGGTTCCCAATCGCCGCGTCTTCTCTTTCTTGGAACGAAGCGGTGTCTTGCAACACCGCTGAAGCAGGTCATTGATAGACTGGGCACCAAGAGCCAGCAAATGCGGTGGAAACGAGCAGCTCTCGATGTCTCGCCGGCTCATATATGGGGTCACGGACACGCGGTGACGGAATATCAGCTATGGACACGGTACCGCCACGCTACCGGTCAGCTAAACTTTTGGTATCAGGACCGGCCTCCGGACGGGACTTGCAAGTATCGAGAATGTGTCGGACAGAAGGAGACTCAGGAGCATCTTTTTTGGGGATGTCCTCGTGCTCAAGCACTTTGGGCCCGGCTCATCAGTCATTGGGGGAGCACACCTCGTCAGCCTTACTACCTCCTTGACTGGCTCAAGCACTGCGCAAACCATAGCGTACCCCGCCTTTCACCGCGGGTCACAGCAATGTTGCTAGCCCGTTGCCAGACGACATGGATCAATTCGCCGCGGCCTCGAGGACGATATGGGAGGTCGCAGGGACCGTCATCGTTACAATGCTCTGGCAACACCGCGTGGACCGCGTTCTCGCCATGCGGATATCCCGATGCAAGCCCGTGAAGCCTTGATTTGGGGCATGATTCAGCTCCAATTACGAGCGCTCATTAAACGCCTCCATTCAGGGCTGACACGGCCGTGCGAGGTGCCCAACTTTCTGCAAGTTTCGACAAATTTATATCAGAACCGAGAGGGCAGCCCGGCCTTCATAGCCAGGCTACCAGCCATGGGCAATGCCTGGACCCTTCAGCGTTGCTAGTGTGGTTAACTACCTATCAGAGTATCTTGCACTAACCATTAAATCGACAATCTGTTCTCTCTTACAATCACCGCAAAAGCCAGTCCAGATAATTTGCCGTGAGAATCTTTTGCATCACCGCCAAAGCTCCAAATTGAGAATGTCAACGGCGCTAGAGATTTTGCAATGTCGGCGATGACTTTTACTTTTGCACCGACCGCGTCCGTTGACGACAATTTTATAGATTGTACCCAGAGCATCGAGCCAAGCGGTGATGACGAGTTTGCTGACTTTTGGTGCTTTAACCAGAGTTCTATAAACAAGAAAGATAATTTCACAAACTTCAAGCAATCTTGCGCGGAATTGTTTGGGGAGAAAGATAGTGGGTTTGGTGACTTTCCCTAGCTGCTGCCCCCCACTCTGGTAGCATCGCCAGCTTTGTGGATTCCGTCCTTACCGAAAACAAAGTTGTCAACAACCTTTAAGGGAGCATTTCCGACGAAAGCCTTTGCCGGCAATTTTGCCTGACCAGGCGGAAAGCCAAAAAACGAGGTGGATGGCACTGATCTGTTCAAGAGAAATTCACAGATTTTATTCACGACGCATTTTTTTCGCGACATGTGCCAATTGTCTTCTTTATCTGTCTCGCTTTCGACTACATTAAAACCGGCAAACGTTGACAAACGCGTGCGCTTGGACCAGCATATGAACGTGCTTTGAGATATGTGAAGTAGGTGCTGCTGAAAAGATCCAAGAGGCGTCCAAGCAGAATGGCATCTTCGCGCATGGTTCTGAGAGACATCAGATGTGGGAGTTATAGAATCTGGCGACGTAGACCGCATGTCTGCCGCTCTTAAAGAGTCGCAAGACGCGCTGTCCCACCATGTAGTAACCAACGCGATGATGAGGATTGCCACCAGGCAGCGCTGTCGGCTAAAGCCAAACATACTGTGAAGGCGGCTCAGCAGCAGCCAACTTTACGTGGTGGATCCTTATTTTCTACAATACGCCACTTGTTGTCACGAGGTGGGAACGCTAGAGGAGCGCATAGCCCGAGTAGTTGTGGCAGCAAGACCGGTCATGCTGGAGCTGACACTCCAACGGGGGTCCCTGTTCAGAAGCTAGCCCGCTTCTTGCTCGCGAACAACCACGACGACTGCGCAAATGCACACCATAGTGACACTAAAGGCGGGGAAAGAGTGTCGGATGGAAGCGATCACACAGGACATAACAGTGGAAGTGATTCAATAATTGTATCTAATGCTGACAGTCGTATTTGAAGCCAAATCTCCTCGAATTGTTGGCAGCAAAGAATCGCGGTCCGATGAAAACGTTTCAGGACCGCTTTTGTTTCAGTAGCACTAGACATCGCCCACGATATGTGCGTCTCAGAAGGAATGGACAGTCAGGTGAGGAGATCAGAAAGATGGAGCTAAACCTGGACACTATCAGTGGAGGCTTTTGACGAAATAAAGTGGAAGTGCGCTTTGTTCTTGTATGACGTCGAAGAGGTAACTCAGGTGGCACCTTCTCAAAATAGCATTTTGGGTACCCCAGGAAAAAAGCTGCTAAGAGGAAAGAGTGGTCGGAGTGCGCTGATAAAGCTGGTAAAGACTGGCTCAATTTGGATTGTAGATATGCGCCAACAAATAGCGATATGCTGAAGTGGTGAGAGATAAGAAGTGGAAGACGAGTCGG